CCTCAATGGAACGTTGTGCTGGCAGGAGGCTCCGTGACGTCACGCCCCCCAGCAGCTGATCCAGCCCTGTTGGCTTCAGGCAGCAGCAGCAGCAGCAGCAGCAGCAAAAAAGCCTTCGCAGCAAGAGCAAGATGCATCCTCCAGGCCCACTGGGTTGCACGCTGCCCTTCTAGGGATCCGGAAATGGGGGGCAAAGGGAACCCTTTTTCAGCCCCTTTGGGTTCGGGATGGGCATGCAGGGGATCTCAAATGGGCACCTAAGGGTGCATTTATAATGTCGAATTAATGCAGTTTTGCACCACTTGGCAAAATGTCCAGCCTAAAAACTCCAGGATTCGATAGCATTCAGGCATGGCAGTAAAAGTGGTGCCAAACAGCGGCTGAGGGGGAAAAGGAAGGGGCCTGAGGCTGTTAGGAATGGTGGGAGTTGGAGTCCAAAACCCCTGGAGGGCCCAAGTTTATTTTGCAAAAGCAGATTTTAACCAGGTCTACCAACTCTGCTGGACCGGCCACGTTGTCCGGATGCCCGACCACCGTCTCCCAAAGCAGTTGCTCTACTCCGAACTCAAGAACGGAAAACGGAATGTTGGTGGACAGGAAAAGAGATTTAAAGATGGGCTCAAAGCCAACCTTAAAAACTCTGGCATAGACACTGAGAACTGGGAAGCCCCGGCCCTTGACCGCTCCAGCTGGAGGTCAGCTGTGACCAGCAGTGCTGCAGAATTTGAAGAGGCACGAATGGAGGGCGAAAGAGAGAAACGTGCCAAGAGGAAGGCGCGTCAAGCCAACCCCGACCGGGACCGCCTTCCACCTGGAAACCAATGCCCTCACTGCGGAAGAAGATGCAGAGCAAGAATAGGGCTCCACAGCCACATACGGACCCACAAGAATATTGGAAGACAATCATCCTCAGAAAGTGAGGGATCGCCTAAATAAGTAAGTAAGTACAATAGACACACAGGCAAGAGGAAAAAAGGAACAGAAAAACTTTACTCTTATCAGCAGAGGCAAAACATCAACTTGCAGCGTTGCATACAAAATCAAACAGTGCAACAAAATGATCAAGGGTCTGGAGAACAAGCCCTATGAGGAGCAGCTTAAGGGCATGTTTAGCCTGAAGAAGAGAAAGCTGAGAGGAGATATGATAGCCATGTATAAATATGTGAAAGGAAGCCACAGGGAGGAGGGAGCAAGCTTGTTTTCTGCTTCCCTGGAGACTAGGACGCGGAACAATGGCTTCAAACTACAAGAGAGGAGATTCCATCTGAACATGAGGAAGAACTTCCTGACTGTGAGAGCCATTCAGCAGTGGAACTCTCTGCCCGGAGTGTGGTGGAGGCTCCTTCTTTGGAAGCTTTTAAACAGGGGCTGGATGGCCATCTGTCAGGGGTGATTTGAGTGCAATGTTCCTGCTTCTTGGCAGGGGGTTGGACTGGATGGCCCATGAGGTCTCTTCCAACTCTTTGATCCTATGATTCTATGAAACAGCGGCTGAGGGGAAAAAGGAAGGGGCCTGAGGCTGTTAGGAATAGTGGGAGTTGGAGTCCAAAACACCTGGAGAGCCCAAATTTGTTACGCAAAAGTGGATTTTAACCAGGTCCAATGCAATAGACACACAGGCAAGAGGGTATCAGCCAGCACGTCAACGACTTAAAACTAGAAATAGTTTTCTAAGATCTACAGAGACACTCGCTGGAACACCTCAGCAAGCGAGACTCCAAAAGTGGCAGGCTCAAACCCAAAACCTCAACCAATGACTGATACCAAATGAGAGACTTCCTCCTGGGCACACAGAAAACTGGGCGACTTGGAAGGCATTGAACAGACTGCGCTCTGGCACCACGAGATGCGGAGCCAACCTTAAGAAATGGGGCTACAAAGTGGAATCCATGACATGCGAGTGTGGATAAGAGCAAACCACTTAGCACCTGCTGCAATGCACCCTGAGTCCTGCCACAATGGAGGACCTCCTTGCAGCAACACRAGAAGCACTCCAAGTGGCCAGATACTGGTCAAAGGACATTTAATCAACTACCAAACTTGAAAATTTTGTGTTTTGTCTGTTTGTTTAGAAATGTTATACAATTGACTGGTTGCCCTGACACGACAAATAAGAGGGAAAAAGGAACAGAAAAACTTTACTCTTACCAGCAGAGGCAAAACATAAACMTACAGTGTTGCATACAAAATCAAACAGTGCAACAAAGTTACATAGTCCTTGTAAGTAAKACAGAATAAGGCTTCTTCATCTTCATTCAAATGAGAGAACAAAACAAACCTTGAGTATATAGCTATTCCACTATAGCAAAGAGCATCGCTGTTACAGCATAGCAGCATTACAGCATATTGCATCTCCTTCAGAGCAGCATATTGCTTCTCCAAACTGTATTCTAAAGTCRATACAGTTACACCCCACCAGGTGTGGCCCAAACATGCTGGCTGACCTACATTACCAGCTGCACATAATAATTAACATTATAAGGTTTTTCTTTAACACACACACTTGATCYTGCTACAACTTACTGTAACAAAGTTTGCCCATGCCTGGTGTAGAGCCAGCCTATATGGTGCTACGCTTACATCCTAAACATACCATGCAGTGACTCCCCACCCCACCCCCCCTCCATCCCCTGCCTATGCAATGGCCTATAAAGAGAAAATTATAGATTGTATCTGCTGGACTCCTGACCTAAATATCCTAACCTAGCGGTTCTCAACCTTCCTAATGCCACGACCCTTTAAAATAGTTGTGGTTGTGGTGACCCCCAACCATAAAAGTGCCGCCTGCCACAGGGACCACCTTTACTGGCTTGTCCAGAGTCTTTGCAGTTAGTTCTTTAAATCATGTCAGCTTTTCCAGTTGTTTCTCTTCAATCCTGCTGTTGCTTGGGATTGCAACATTGACAATCCTTACTTGGTTTTTTTAACATGATTATGAGGTCAGGAGTATTGTGCTCCAAAACTGTCAGTCTGAATTAGTTTGATTTGTTCATTTTCTGTAACTTTTGATCCCACTAGTTCTTTGTCACAGGCAGATGGTATTTGTGGCACAAGTTCTAATGAATCATCTATTATTATTATTATTATTATTATTGACACAAAAGCACAGTATGTCACAGCAAACGAGATCTATATGCTGGATTTCCTATCACAAAATCACAAGTCAAACACTTCCCAAACATCTAGGACTATGTGATGCATTTTCGAATGATGTGCACAAATCCAAGTAAGGTGGCCTTTTTGCAGTTGACAGATCGTGATTTTGTCGATGTTTATTGTTTCCAATTGCTGACTGAGATCTTTTGGCATGGCACCCAGTGCGCCAATGACCACTGGGACCACCTGTACTGGTTTATGCCAGAGCCTTTGCAGTCCCGGTCAGGGAACCACCCCCAATGGGTGCCACCTTGTCGTGGTGGAGGGCTTAACTGCTCCAAGAATGCTGAGAGCTGTGCTGGCGGTAGTGTAACTACCAGCAGGTCCAACCAAGCCAGAGAGGTCTCAGCTGAGGAGTGGAATCAAGAGCACCTGACATTAGCACTATGGAGAAGCAAACCAAAATGAAGTCTATACTGGCTCGGTCAATACCCAGGATAAAAAGGACTGTGGTGGATGCTGCTGATTCTGGACATCCATCGACAAGTGGGTTACAGAATCAAAATACAAATGAATCATCACAAAAGCGGCAGAAATATACAATGTCAGAAAACTGCACAATTATTATTATTATTATTATTATTATTATTATTATTATTATTAGCTGCCTTGAGTCCTGAACTGTCACCGATTGGCTGAGAAAGGCAGTATACAAATAGAGTACATAAATAAGAAAAATAAATAAACTGTGCAAAGAGTATGCTATAAATAATTTTGATGGTGCTGTAAGGAATCCTGGGAGTTGTAATCCAATAACAGAGAGCCATATAGTTTCCCCTCTGGACTTCAATGCTCACCAAGCCAAATGGCGATTGTGAATATAGCAGAAGTATGATTTTCAGAAATGCTTTGATGCTACAAGGAAAGTAAAATGAAAAAGCACATGTGAGTCTGACCAGGCTGAATTGTGAAAATCATTAGGCACCTTTTACATAGCACCCACATTCCGTTATACAGCTATACACAAAAGTGGCATCCCAAGGAGGGACAAGGAAGAAAGAGAAAGCTTTATTTACCTTCAGAAAAGACTCCCTCTATTCCATTTTAAGGCCTCTTTGAGATATTTCATATTAATTAAAATAAATGTTGGGAATTAGGGTTTTGCTGGGTGTTAGCCTTTTTGGAGGAGATATGAGAAGTAAAAGTTAGGAATCAGCCTTCTTTTAGGAGAGCATGCCTCAGTCCGCATTGCCACCCTAAACTGAAACACACTAAAAATATGCAAGGCAAGCTGTTTCAGCTTCCTTCTTGCAATGTGCTTCAAGTGGTTTCCGATTTATGGTGACTACAAGCTATGGGTTTTCTAAGCAATATATGTTTAGAAGAAGATTGTAATTGCCTTGCAGGTTTGGAAAAAAACACATTACTGTCTTTGCTCAGTATGCAAAGGGACCACAGAGATGAACTGAGAGAGAGACGTTTGCAGCCTAAGCCTTTGTAGAAGGGTGTATCTGCACTGCAGAATTAATGCAGTTTGGCACTAGTTTGACTACCATGGCTCAAAGCTACAAGTTCTAGCTTAGCGAGACACCAGTGCTTTTTGGCAGAGAAAGCTAAAAACCTTGTAAAACTTCAACTCCCCATGATTTCATAGAATTGAGCCATGACAGTTACTTTCTGCAATGGAAAAGGGGATTTGGGTACCTCTTGCAGAGATGTTCTCTTGTTCCATATTTTATTATTTTGCATATTAACACAAATTTAGAAACAGATAAGTGCAAGGAGGCATTTTTTTCCTGTGTTGTCAGGATTTACATTGCAAGCTATAGTCTTGTTGAAATATGGAATTAAAGTGTTTACATGAGCAATGCTGAATTTATAAATTGCTTGCTTACAGAGAACCA